CTCTAAGCTTCAAGTTGCTCCGCTTTGAGAAAAAAACTAATCAGCCAGGGGATATCTACGAAAGTTCGCGTGAGATGAACTGTTTGAAATGTTGCTCCTTCCGAGTAAACAGAAAAGCCTATCATTCTGCTAGTAGTTTCTGTAACTTAATTGTTTGAAAAAAGTTTTCCATTCGTTTTTTCAAAGATTAGTTTTTGAGGTGCTAAACGATGGAGATTTGGTATTTTCTCTATTCGAATATTTTGAAGGTTTTGTTTATCAGGTTATTATAGTCCGTGCGAAATGGTGAGATTTAGGGAGAAAATCAGTGACGTGAATAAGTCACAAATATACCGATTCATTCATCACATATATCACAACCTCAGTTTGCAATAGCATTTAGGTGAACTGTCCAACAGATGGTCGAGTGCTGTGTGAACTCCCGACATTCCTAGCTGCGGCTGATCGAGGTCCAAACGACCTGATACCCGGCCTGCTAGCTAAGATAACGGCTGATGAAATGGGACGGTGCAAACTCGAGCCATGGTTGGTTTATCTAAAACGAAGTGCGCTTGTACATAGTTTAAACTGCCCCTAAACCCACTGCAGGAAACGCTGGCGTTTGGGGGCTAGACCGATGGTTCACTTGAGGCGTTACAAACTAAGAAAAACATTGTTCATTTTTTGGGACAATGGCCGGAAGAAACAAACGAATGCCAGTGACAGTGTGGATGTCCCAATTCAACATAACAGATAACGTCTACGAAGGGGTAGTTCCTCCCCAAAATACTCAATTTCCACCTGATATGTTCTTCATTCAATGCGATGCAGTATGACAATTTGCAGGTGAGATACGTTTTGCTAAATATCTCTGCGCTCAAAGATCCCTTTTGCGATGGCTTCTACCAGTGTACCACCAAGTATCTGACAAACGTAAGATGCGTTGTAGTGGACGTCAGCTTTTAAGATTCTGGTAGTACCTATTTCAAAGAACCTTCTGTTAGATAGAGACATCTTCACATGCATTTAGCAGTGTTCCTCCCCGTCAAAACATCTGGAGGGGGAGCTGGATTTATAGTCCCTATGAAGAAGTGCCAGAAATTTTGATTTTGAGATGGAATGGATGGATGCATAAAAACACGTATAAAACACTATTGTCCCACTGTTAGTTTCTGCCATGATGTGTTCGGAGTTTACAGGTTTTAAACTCCAGCGGGGATATGTCCAAACTGGCTAGTGCAGGGAGACCAGTGCATACGTGAATTCAAGCAGTGGAGAAAAGTCGATGAGTTGCGGGTTTCCGTACAAGAAGCCTTGGGAATCGCTTAGCAAAAGAGGGACGAAAGATCATCTCGGTTTGAACATTTTCAAGCGAGGATTCTAGGAGCTATTTTGTCTGAGATCAAGCATAGTGTTGTTTCCGTTTGCCATATCTGGTGGGACCAGCTTAATGCTAATGGTACGAATGTGCCAACGAGGGTAGCCAGAATTTCCTTTATACCTCTCTAGCAATGTTGAGCTACAAGTGCAGATCCGCGTAGTAAGTCAATGGGTGACACTGTGGAACCGTATTCCGTTTTCCAAGAAGCTGATCGATCACAGACAACCGGGTTTAGAAAAACAAAGTTCCTCTAATTATTGCCACTTCTTAGCTAGTTTAAAAGTAAGCTACGTTCCCACAAATAAAGGACATAAAAAATGCTGGACCCCAGGCATTCGTGTAGCCTTTTGTAGGGGACGACATTTTCTAATGTTGGGTTGCGTTCTCAGCAGACGTCTTCATAGATTCATTTTTTCCTCTGCTCAGAGTCTCATATTGTTCGATTACTCTGTAGCAAGTCCAATAGAATTGACAATGGTGGTTTCGTTGAGTTGAGGACTGTGGTTGCAGGCTGCATTATCTGCACCGATGCGCCCTTCAAATGACTCAAACGTGAGTCTTTACCACAAGTGTACACATCTACACGTAATGCACTACTCATAATATTGCTGAAACTTATTCGACAGCCCACGACCGGTTCCGTCCTTCTTGGAATCATCAGGTAGACGCATTCCCCGAGTTTCCATCAACCTTATGTTCTACTTGAAACCAAATTGCACGAAATTAGCGAACTGCACTCATTTGAAAACTAATTGAGTTTTTCAAGAGACTTACCTGGAACCCATCTGGATCTCTCGTTTGTGATGTTTTCAGGCAACCGAATGTGCTCACCAGGCCGCCTCATGTTTCATCTGCTACGATATTCGAGATATCGCAGTATAATTTCATAAAAGAAACTACTCACAAGGTTTCTGAAAACTCTTCGACAGTCCACGACCAGTCTCGCCCTTCCACTTAGCGAATGGCGAAATCGGTCGTGGGCTGTCGAAGAATTTTCAGCAACTTCTTGCGTAGTGCATTACGTATATACATGTTTCGCGATATAGCGAATATCGCAGCAAATGAAACATGAGGCGGCCTGTTGCAGCATAATCAGTTGCCTGAAAAACTCATAAACGAAAGATTCAGCTGGGTTCCAGGTGAGTTGCAAAACCAGATTTGTTTGCAAATGTGTGTATTTGGCTATACGGTTATCTCCTATCACTGATTAACTTTATGCGAACCTGTGAACATCGTGCGCAAGACCTGTCTGGTTTTAAGTGCTCCATGCTCTCGACCTATCAGAAAAACAGACATCGAGTGAATTGATCACCAGTTGGAAACTTTGACTCCGAAAATTTCCACTCATTACTGACTCTCAGACTGAGCACTAACTGAAATGAAATTTTTGGGCATTTTGAGTCAAATTCATCCGCAACGCGTCAGGTGACACGGAAAATTCTATCAAACGGAAAATCGGAAAGAGAGAAGCAGAAAATTTTTTTAAATTGCGTGTGTTTGTGTTAATTTACAGACCAACAATCCCTTATGGATGTTCGCCGGTAGTGAGTTACCAGTGGTGAAGATATACCAGCCTATCGGACTACAATAGCAACCAAACCAGCATTCCTTCGGTTTTGCAAACCAACACGGCACTTGTCTCCCTCCCACTAGGAACAGCCTACAAGGCATTCCAGGGAGTCCTGCAGAAGTGTGTATCCCCTCGAGCGAAGTAGTATTATACCACCGTTATGTGAACATGGCTTGATCTCTGTCAATGTAACTCTGTGCGCCAGTGGCCATATAGGGGAGTTTACAATTTGGCTCGGATGTATGACTCATTCGGAAGAAGGTATACCTTATCCACAATCAGTGTTTAGTCATGTCCCAGTGGCGGGATTAATGTCTCTACGCACGTTCCGTTACGCAAACGGCGCGGCTTGGAGGCACAATGCATTTTTCTGCAAAACCATTGTGGGTGGAATGAAATCTTTATGCCAAAATGCTACACTTCTTTGCATATATGCTCAGTCCAAAAATCACCCTCATCTGCTGTCACTTTTTTGCGATTTGTTCTAATTAATCTCCTTTCGAAGCTTTTGGCGCACATTCGACTTTGAACTTGGTGTGCTATGGCTTCGGAAGTGGCTTCACAAGCTTTTGTTGCGAAATTCGTGGCTGTATCGTTTTCATCCTTCACTGCACTTGAGAAGGCCTTGAATCAATACAGGAGGGATAACTATGTAGTATTTGTGCATTCATCCAGTGCTCGAAGCACCAACGCTGTATTGCGTTACGAATGGGTGTACTACAAATGCAAGAGGCTACCTCCAAGACCAACGGAAGGCCCTGAAATCCGAAGAAGCTAGTAAGCCGATGGAATTTTGTAATAAAAAAGTACGTGAAGGAGGCAAAGGAACCAACTGGCAGTGACCTCTTATTTTCGGGAACACAACCACAAACTGTCAAAGTTTTCTGTACGATCGGCTTCCAGTCAATCGACGCCTAACCGAAGACGAGTTGGGCACATGCAAGGCCCCGCTGACATATGGAACTCCGTCATATGAAGTACGACAGTTTGTGGCGGATGAATTCGGAAAGATTCTTACAACTAAGGATATACACAACTACCGCCGGAAGTGTCGACCGGCTATGTTGAGTAGGTGCCGAATGGTTGGGTTTTAACGTAGCAGATGATATGCCTTCGGTTGTGGCAAAACTTCGAGCCACCGGATACGTGCTCGTGTGCCAGTCAGAGGAAGGTCACTATAGATCACCAGTCAGAGGGTCAGCTGAGAAAACCATTAGAGGGGGAATACTAGGCTTATTCATTTGATTGCGTGACTTTCTGTACCACATGTTTTAGAAATTCAGCTCTGTTCCAGGTGAGTCTACCTCGAGGCCAAACTGGTAAACAAATTATGGTACTTCGCTAATTTCGAGGGATTCGCGTTGGAGTAGAACATAAGTCCGACGTAAACTCAGGGACTGGGCCTTCCTGATGAGTCCCAAGACGGGCGAAGCCGATCGCGGCCTGCCGAAGAGTTTTCAGGAAACTAATGTGTAGTGTGCTAGTTATGGCATTTAATTTAATGGTCAGTGCTCGAGTTTGGAGTCAGTTACAAGTGGAAGGTTTCCGATTCACAGTTTTTAACTGGTGAATGTCTAACGGAAAACGTGTTTTTTTCCTGAGAGATTGAGGACAAATTTGAACACAAGAAGTACTTGGGAACAGAGATCATGTGGACCGTGCCCGAGGGATCTCATAAAGGTGATCAATAGCACCAGGTCTGTTTATCAATGTTGTAACCTCGATTTGTGTTCGCGTGTCTCGAGTGACCCTGCGGTACGGGTGACGCTGGTCGCAATCATCACCCTCACGCTCATCACAACCGCCAACTCTGAAATGGCTGTGGGAACAGAAATCCATTCAGTGTCCTCGAGGAAAACGGAAAGGCAGTCTATGAAACCTTACACTGAAACCTTAAATTGAAACCCAAGCATTAGAAAGTCATTTCTCTGCGGGCGACCAGACGTATGTTTCAATCAAGTACTTTTCATAATCCTCTTTTGTGGCATTCTGAATTGTTTCAACTGACTACGAATGTTACGCTAAAGACAAATGTATTTTTGTCACCCCATTGTTTTTTTATCGATTACGTTTTCCCCGACGGCTTACATCGGGAAAATAAAGCAAGAGCAGTGAATGCAGTATGAATCAGACCAAATTAGTTGGGGGACAAGTTGTGTTCAAGATGAACTTAAAATTGATCA